TGCCTGAAATGGAGCCAGAGATGATGACGTGGAACGATGGAGCAGCTGGAGACTTTAGATCCAGAGAGGGAGAGCGACTGTGTGCTGAAGACCTGTGGGGCACGGGGGAAGGATTGCAGGGTATACCCTTTGGTTAGTTGATGATGCATGGAGGGGATTGTAACCATGGCAATGAGACGATATACGATAGAATGAATGTAAAACTAATGTTCTCTCCCATGTAAACTATCACATAATTCACAATAAAACATTTAAGAAAAAAACAAAACCCTGGCTAGACGAGATTAGGCAGGGATATTGTTAAGTGTCATCGAGTTGGTTACAACTCATAGGGACACTGTATAGGGTTTTTGAGGAGCGGCTGGTAGATTTGAAATGCCAACCTTGCAGTTCAAACTGACCTTGCAGTCCATTGTTATAGTACAATGCCACACCAGGACTCCAGTTTGGAAACCACTGAAGTGGGCCTAGCCTAATGAAGGGGCAGGGATAATGGGAGGAAAGCAGGAGTGGTTCTTGGGCTCCGATCCACACTGGCCAACAGGTCCAATTCCCTGTAGGCAACATGCAGAGAAAGGGATGGGACTCACCCCTTAGTACTTTCAGTTTGGAGACTTGGGTCACTGTAGTCTGTTCCAGTCAGGTCAGCAGATGGTCTGAGTTCAAACACTGGATAGGTAGAGGAGACTTAGGCTTTGCATTCTTTTCCTTTCGCACAATGCATCCTGATTTTGCCTGGGCTGCTGTATGGTGCTTTGCTGGCCTAGCTTTATCTTTAAGCTTTCCAGAGACTACTCATATGAACCTGAGAGAGTTCCAGAGGTAAGGCACACCTATAGAAGGACCTCAGACACTTCAACCTCCTTCTGCCTATGGACCTTGGACCTGGAACGTTATTCACTGCTCAAAATCTTTAACCTAGAACTTCTTCCTTCACCCAAGCACCCAAGATGAAAGTACCTTAGTTCCTGCGTTTCTTGTTTTCCCATGTCCCAACACCCTGTCCAAGACCAATGACTCAAGACCTTCTCTTCCCAGGGACTTCTGGCCCTTCAACACGCCTTATCCATCAGACTTCTAATCTAACCAACCTCCATGACAACTATGACTCAGGAACACCACATTTACTCATCTCTCTGATGTCCTCTTACATATCCCACCAAAACCCAGTCACAAAATGATATCTGCATTCCTGAGCTGTTCTCCAAAGTCCTGAGACATGATTTAGGAGGTGGGGAACAAGAAAGGGCCAGAGCAAAGATGGAGGCAGAGACGATGACATGGAGTGATGGAGCAGCTGGGGACTCTAGACCCAGAAAGGGAGAGGGGCTATGTACCGACGACCAAGGGGCAGGCTTGTGGGGTATACCCTCTGGTTGTTTGATGATGCATGGAGGGAATTGTAATTATGGCAATGAAATGATATACAATAGGATGAATGTTAAGCTAATTCATGTTCTCCCATGTAAACTATCATAGAATTAACAATGAAACATTTTAAAAAAAGAGGGCCAGCATAATCAAGCACCTAGTCTATAGGGCCAAGTAAAAGTTCCCATCTAAGTCCATCTGCTTTCTCAGAGAGAGATGTTAGGCTGGGTAGTCCTAACCTAGAGGCCCTACTAGTGGGTCACCCTGAGAAACTTCCTTGATCTTTATGACTCCAAGGAAAGATCTAATTCCCTTCCCTATGTTCCCAGGGTCCTACTGAGTAGTCTTCAGGGTACAGAATGAGGTTCAGGCTAAGAAGAAATAACCATGATTCAGCAGCACTACAAACATGAAGCAGAATCCTGCTCCTCACTGTCCTCAGCTTTTCACTGAGGCACCAGAATAGGCCCAGCCTCAAGACCAAGAGAAGAGGAGAGGGCTTCCCGTCCCTGACCAGAGCTAAAGTGATGGATTTCTGGGAGGATCCATGCCTTAAGGGCTAGTAGCTAGAGTCTAGGAGTTGGCAAACAGCCTGGCCTGAGGGCCAGGACTAGCCCAGGGAGTCACCCCAAGCCCTAGATGAGACCAAAACATGTTCCTAGGCTTCAAAGGCTAAGGAATTTCCCTAGGACTTGGAAATGCAGATGAACCACCTTAGGACCACCGTAATGCTTGGCCAAGCCTAAGCCCCAGAAAAGATAGAGAACTGTCCCCAGTACTGTTTAAACCTAAAGGGCCACCTAAGGATGAGGCTTAGCAGAATCTTCGGCAGCAGACAAAGCTGAGTGACAGTCCTTACCTTGGCCTGAAGTCTTGGACAAATCTGAGGGACAGCTGGGACCCAAGATGGTGCTGAATAGCAGCATCCTACCCTAAACCCAGAACTAGGCTGAGGAGTCACTTGGATATAAGTACACACATTGCCAACCTCTTCCGAGGTTGTCCTATAGAATAATCCAGGTGAGCAAATATCTGTATATAGGCACCCTTGTTTATTGGCTTAGGTAGTGAGCAGGATCGTGAACCTTTCTAAGTAGTTCTGTCCCCATTGACTCTTGTTATATAAGCTCTACAGGCTTGCCTGTCTGTGGTAAATCTTTTCCTAGTCCAGGGGCTGTGCCAGGAATTCTAGAGGGAGACAAGCATGGGTCCATGAGCCATCAGTTTCTACTCAGAAACAAAGGAGTTCTGAGACAGGGAAGACACAGGTCTGCAGATTCCCACCTCCTCACATGCTGGAGAAACTAGCACTGAGTCCAGGATGAGAGGGTTGCATTCAAATCCAAGAAGGTAGGAGCTACTGAGCTGTATAGTGAGGTGTTTAAGAAAGAATCTTGGGTTCAAATACTAAAGCTGTTGCTGTCTAGTTTACTGACCTTGGTCAAGTCACTTTATTTCCTCACCCATAAAATGGGCATAGTATTAGTACTTTTCCCATGGGGTTATTAGAAGCATTAATGAGGGATTATATAAAGATCAGTCACTTGTCTGGCACATAGTAAATGTTCATAAATGTTATTATCATTATTGAAATGGTCACTTTAGCTGACAGATTCAACCACTCTCTGTAAAGCACAACCCTCTAAGACCCTCAACTTTCCAAAACACACCAACTGTGTATCTACTTAACACGTATATATTTAAAATTGCTCCAGCAGAGAAAAATATTGCACACATTGGTCCCATCCTGGCCCCCTCCAATCCTAGGCATCCTTCCCTGACCACTGTGTCCTAGAAACAATTTTCAGCTTGTGTCAGTCACACAAAGCCCTGTCCAGATGATCCCCAGGCCTCCAGGCCTGGGTGGTCTGGTACCTGGAGGGTGGTCATAGGTCCCCGAGGTGGAGTGGGAGGTGGAGTACCTGGGTCCCACAGAATGTCCTCATATGGGCTTAGAACTGGGCCTGAGGGCTGTCCTTGAGCCCCAGTCTGCATCAGCAGGGTTCTGAGAAAGCCCACAGTGAGAGTGGGCTCTGCCCCAGGTGCAGGGAATGGAGTTGGGGGACCTGCTTCATCTGGCAGGTGTGTCTGCAGTAGAAGCAGGAGCTCAGCTGGAGCCAGGTCTGGTGGGCACAGGCGGCAAAGGAGGGGGAAGTGGGTATCAAGCCGGCGGTGTCGGGCAAACTCAGCCAGCAGCAGTTTGAAGATCTCACTTTGAAGCAGGGGGCTGGAGGGGCCAAGGGCCAAGCCAGCCTGCAGAGCCCGTTCCCACTGCTCCTTTTGCACCAGCTGCCTTACAGCCTGGAGTACGGCCTTGGGCCGTCCACTGCCCAAGAGTAGCTCCAGTTCCAGTGCCTCAGGTCTGGCCCCCTCCTCACCTAGTACTGCCAGGGCTCGGCGATACAGGGGCAGCCCTGGGTCCCCGGCTCCCCAGCCTGGCCCGCCCTGCTGTTGTGCTAGCTCCACAAAGGGTGGCAACCATTGTGGTTGCAGCTTGCATAGGCACTGGCACAAGAGTTCAAAGGGGGGCAGTACCCCATTGGGGGGCTGCTTTCCAGCTGCTGTACCCCCCAGCACCTTCTTCCACACATCAGGGGAAGCTTGGGACCTCAGCCTGCCATCCCTGTCTGGTTGGAGCTTCAGGGCCCTGTGGATGGCTCCCCAGGCAGCTACAGGAAGGGCTTGGAAAAGGGTGTTAAGCTGGGCCAGCTGGTCTCCCATCAACTCGGTCTTCAGCAGGCGTGCCACCTCCTGTTCTGCCAACTCAGAGCAACTAGCCTCTTCATCATCTCCAGCCACCAGCTGGGCCTTGAGCTGTTCTAAGCCCCGGTAGTTCCGAAGCTCAGTCCTCAGTGAGGTCAACAGTGAAGATGGGGGCAAGTGGCCCTGGAGGACGGAAGCCAGGATCTGAGGAGCCCGGAAGGTGCTGTTATGTCTCAATTCCTCTGGAGTGAGCTGAGCACCCCTCAGGCTCCGCCGCTGGTAGTACGCACAAGCCTCCTCAAACACCAAGTCTTCCACTGAAGGCAGCACAAGACCCTGTGGGGCTTCCCAGCCCACCAGAAAAAGACCCATGGCTGAAAGCAAACGAAGACTCCCCCGGGACTCCAGCTCTTTCTCATCCTTCAGGCCAGTGGCTAAGGGCTCCAGGAGATGCACTCGGTCTGTACTCAGCACCTTCCTCTCAAGCAGTTGCCCACTGCCCATGTCTAGAAGTTCCAAAGTGGAGCCCAGCACACAGGCCAGAGTACCTTGAAAAGTTCCCAGGGATGCAGACCCCTGAGGACCTACCGGTGCCTCAAGCAGGGTTCCCACAGGTCGTGTACTTCCATGGGAAGGCACCAGGCTCACAGTGCCCCTGAAATCAAGTAACAACAGGCCCCGAGGGGTTGCAGTCCATGTATGAACAGCCAATGGCTGCCTGGCAGACAGCAGTCCAGGAAGGCCTCGGAGTAGGATCCGGAAGTCCCATGTATCCCTTCGTCCAGGATTCAGGCTCTTACTGTAGGTGAGGCCAAGATATGGGGCAGACACCATCACCTTGCCCTTGCCTGGGGTCCAGATGAGCAGAATGTGGGCCACCCCAGGAAAGGTGGTGGCAGTGGGTACCAGGAAGAGGTCCCTGCCTGAGGCCAGCAACCCCAAAGGGGGGCAGTGGTGCAGCATGATGTGTGTGCGGCCCAGCGTAGGGATTGCCTCCCCGCTAGGCTCCAGAGTCCGGACACACACGCGGTGGCTGAAGGAGGCTGTGGACTGCCCCAAAGCTCCCACCTGACACTCCTCACACCACACCAGGTGGCCTCGGGGCGCTGCCACGGCCACCACACGGGCTCCACCGCTCAGACACAGCTCGGTGCTCTGCAGCAGCCTCCAGCCAGGCCCCACCCCCTCGCCCCACACCTCAGTCAAGCCACTCTCCCAGACCAGGACAAGCACCGGCCGCGCAGGCCACGATAGGAAGAAGGCGTCCAGTGGTTGGGGGTGGCCAGCCGGCCAGGCACGCTCTAACTCCTCGCCAGGCCCACGCACTGCAACCAGCAGCTGCGGGGCCGGCGCCCCCGGGGGTCGTAGCAGCAGCAGGTGACGGCCGTCCGGGCTGCAGCGGACTCGGACAGGCGGGTCCTCGGCCAGCAACTCTCGGAGGCGGGCTGCACTGCTGAAGTCACTGAGGTCTGAGAGCAGGCGAAGAGTCCCTACGCGCTTCATGGTGTCGCCCGCACCGAAGCGGACTCAGCGCCGTCCACCCCGTGCAGAGAGGCCCAGCCCTACTTGCGGAGTTTCGTGGGAGGTCGACAGCGGGTTGAGACTTCCGTCCCTCATCTATGAGGTGAGCCGAGGCCGGGCGGGGAACCGACTCCGCTCCGCCCCGCCAGGCTACCACAGGACTAGCACAGTACAAGTCCTGTGGGCACGTCACCGCCCGCCAAGGGAGGAGCCTTATGGGGGGAGGAGCCTCGTGGGGGAGGAGCCTCCGGAGCGCTTAAAAATCTCAAAACTACACCATAGTTAGCTCTTGGCACCAAGGAAGTGCGGTGACACTAAAGTGTGGTTTAAGTTTGGAAATAGCCGCGGCTAAGCGCCAGATTGGACTGCTGGTGTGGCTCTGTGGGTTAATACGCTGGTCTTACAAGTTCGGTTCGAATCTCAAGGTCGGCGGTTCAATCTCACCAGGCACTCTTTGGAAAACCTCTAGGGGTCCTTATGAGTCCAAACCGACTCAACGGCACTTAACAAAAAGCTCCAGACTGAGAACCTTGCTCTCCCAAGACTTTTCTGCCCATCCAAGTCTCACTTTCCCATACCAGCTCAGCCATTCCTGTATTCATGACATTTTTATTTTGTGGCACTGCAGGGTTAATGCACTGGACTGCAAGATTGGTTTGAACTGAAAGGTCGATGTCTCAAACTCACCAGCCGCACCTCGGAAACCCTATACAGGATTGCTGTGAGTCAGAACCAACTCCACGGCACTTAACAGCAATGTGCCAGATTCTTTCAGCAGTGAACGAAATAGAAAACCTATACTTCACGGAGATTACAATTTAGTGGGATACAAAAATAGCTAACACTTCTATTGTTGCTGTTAAGTGCCATGGAGTCTGTCTAGGCCTAGATTCCCGGTGGTGATGAAAATAGCGACCCTATACAGGGTTTCCTAGGCTGTAAATCTATGGGAGCAGAAAGCCTCATCTTTCTCCCACGGAACAGCTGGTAGTTTTGAACTGCTGACCCTGAGGTTAACAACCCGATTCGGAACCACTACACTACCAGAGCTCTGTAATACAGAATTAATTAATACAGGCATAGTTAAATCTATTATGAGTGGTAATGAGCAGCCAATCAATTGAAGGGATGATTCCTTGGGGTTGTGGTCTGCTCCCAATATACTGGACAAGCCACAGTCGGAACTCTACAATTGTAAGCCATTTACTTGATAATAAACTTCTTTCTTTCTATATCTATGTGTGTATATGTTTCACTGGTTTTGCTACTCTAGAAAACGCAGCCTAAGACATGTTGTACAGAAAGAATGGGGTTCTAGAGAAACAAAGTCACAAGGATAAGTTTTTAAAATTGATACTCAACCAAGTCTGACTAATTTTAAAGCTCTGACATAGGGTGGAGGCATGTCTACCTCCATTTCATAGGAATTGGCCTTGGGCTGATTTTGAGTTTGGTTCTCTTTCGGTCTTGTGGAGTCAGAGGAAGTCCGACATGGTCCACTTGGTTTAAGCAGTTGGTGTGCGGAGCAGGATTTATTGCAATGACTCCAGACTCATGGAAGTATGAGGTTTTATACAAGAAAGTATGAAGAGGCATGGGATAAAATGCTTCAGCTGAATGGAGAGCAGCTTCTGAAGTTGATGTCAGGCTGGTTAAACTAGAAGGTTGATAGGGGGCCAGAGCCTACTGGAACCCACCATATCTACATGCATATGAATGGAATTAGTCCAAGGGAGAAGAAATGATTGAATTTAAGAGTTTTAAAAGGTTTATGTGTTTAACTGCCTTAGGAATGTTGGTTTCTCCTGTCTACTATTGTAAAATAAATTTACATGTGTGACAGAAATGAATAAGAATTATGATTACAGAAAGTGCGTGAGCCAGCCTTCAGCCTTATTTGATTGGATTTGCTAAAAGGGAAATTAGAATTTGCCTGAAAAAATTAGACTTCTTGCTTTAACCTTGTTGTTTGTTGTTGTGAAGTGCTGTCGAGTCGATTCTGACTCATAGTGACGCTGTATAGGGTTTCCGAGGAGCAGTTGGTGAGTCTGAACCGCTGACCTTGAAGTTCAAAAGGTTTTGCCGTCTGGTCCAATAACCCATAGCACCACACCAGGACTCCAAGGCCTAAAATTAGGCCTTAGACCTTAGGTGGCTCTGGTAGTGTAGTGGTTACGAATCGGGCTGTGAACTGCAAGGTCACCAGTTCGAAACTACTAGCTGTTGGAGAAAGATGAGGTGTTCTGCTCCCTTAAAGGCACTTCAGGACACTTAACAACAACCCATAATCTTTAGAATTGTGGTATTTGCATTTGAAAACCCATGCAGACCAACCTAGAACTGCTGGGAGAACCAGAGATTCCTGATGGAAAGAAAGCAGAGGAAAAAAAGCAGATTTCTTAAAAAAAAAAAAAAAAAAGCTTGTTTCAAGCAAGCAAGCTGTTTGCCTTTGGAGACATTAAGAGCAGAAAAGTGTGCCCATCAGAGAAAATCCCCTTATAGGACTGAAAGCCATATGTTTGCTGGTGACCACTTGGGTCTACTTGTGAGTAGAGCTGGGGAAAAGGCAACAATGAAGACAGAGACTGAGTTTGAATGTGTTCTATTAGCACCCATTGACCTTGAGATGAGAGTGAGAAGAAGGAGGGCTAACTGGTTTTAAATTTAGGGAGTTGTGTGAACTCCTGAGCCCATGGGCACTGACCTACCCTCTTAGGGCTAGGGCTGAAAGTAAAGGGAGGTGTCTGTAAACTCCTAAACTTGCAGCTGGTACCCATTTGACCTAGCTTGGATGGCTAGGGTTGAGCTGATCAGAACCCAACCAGATCAAATAAAGATGTTTGATACTGTGAGCAAGTGTTAATTGCTACAATTTGAATTGAACTTTTGCTTAAGAATGCAGTTGCTCAAGATCCTAACCAGAATAGAAGATTCTTGGCTCAAGGAACATGCTTATCTCCTCAGTGTACTGGGTTGATAGGGATGAGCAATTTAGAAATTGGCTATAAAAAATAGGGAACTATAAAGGCATGAGGGAGTCCTGGTGTGGTGCGCTGGACTGCAAAGTTGGTTTGAACCACAAGTTTGTGGTTCAAGCTCACCAGCTGCTCCTTGGAAACTCTATACAGGGTCACGATGGGTCAGAACTTACTCAATGGCACTTAACAACAACAACAAAGGCATGAAGTGGCTGGCTTATAAGCTTTCATGAGTGTACTTAGTTTTGTTATAGTTGCTCTAAATTCTAGAGTGTTACAGCAGCCCTAGGCCTGAGAGTGTCACAGCAGCTCCAGATCCATTGTGGAAGAAACCGAGGCCACTCAGAGAGGTGAAGCAAAGTTTCAGGTTTATTAAGCCAGCTAGCTCAGAGGAGCTAACTTCTCCAGGTTCTGAGTCCTGAATGCAGGTCAGCAAAGGCTTATGTAGGGTCAGAATCAAGGAGGGGCTAGGTTGCGGACCTGTCTGAGGACAAGAGGTAAACCAGAAGATTGGTCCTGCTCAGTAACTTGTTTAACAGTCTAGTTTGTCTCCTGGGTGGGGAGGATTGATCTCTCTCAATAACCTGATTAGCATTTTAGCTTGTCTCCTGGGTGGGGAGGAGGCAGTTAATGTTTTACCTTTCCTGTTCATTTCCCCCACCCCTACTCCCCATCTGGTAGTGTAGTGGTTGTGAATTGTGCTTCTAACCTCAGGGTTAGTAGTTCCAAACTACCAGCTGTTCTGTGGGAGAAAGATGAGGCTTTCTGCTCCCGTAAAGATTTACAGTCTCAAAAACCCTATACAGGGTCACTCTGAGTTGGAACCCACTCCATGGCATATAACAACAAAAATTACTTAGTTAATCAGAGCCTCACCATCTGGTGGTTCCTGTAGGAGTTGCTGGTACTTAACATAGAGTAATTGTGAGGTTCCTTTTCGACTGATTATTGTTTCTATGGTAGTCCATATGGCCCTGATTGCTAGTGGGAGAGGACATGGAATGATTAGGCAAATTCCAAGTAAGAACAGAACTCTACCTATCAGGCTCTTGAACCCTCCAAAGGTGGAGAACCATCCTCCTCATAAGCTCTGGGGTTCCACCCATTCCAGATTTGCACAGCAACATGGGCAACTTTCTGCATCTTTTTTACAAGATCTTCTACTGCCCGACCCTGATCATGCATTTGTATGTAGCAGTTGGTAAAATTAAACTTCCCACATACTCCTCCTTCCACGGCCAATAAGTAGTCCAGGACTAATCTACTTTGATAGATGGCATTTTGCATTTGTGTTTGTTGGCATGCAAGAAGGGTTAGGGACCACCCCAGTTTCATTGGTTATAAGTTCAGTTACCTAGAAGGGTGCCTTCACATTTATACTAACTATAGAAGGAGCTCTGGTAGCATAGTGGTTACAAATCGGGTTGCTAACCTCAAGGTCTGCATTTTGAAACTACCAGCTG